CACGACACTATACTAAAAATGCTACCATTCATCAAAAAAGCTTCCATACTGTTATGCTTTGAGCTGGTCTCAGTATTCACACTGAACACACTCTGCCTCAAGAACATGCCTCCTTCCCCTGTTCTTGTACGAGTTCTCCAGATTATGCCCAAATTACAAATAAATAAAAAACCCATTTTGTGTATGCTAAAGAGGATTTGTCAGCTAAGCTGCCTGCAGACTTCACCTGGAAAGGGCCATGCCCAAGACACTTACTGAATCTCTAAATCACACTGAGCACATACTGCTCAGTATGTAGATACTATACAGTACACACTAACAAGAATATTCGAGTACAGACACAGAGAAAGATTCTTCCCATAAATTCATTTTCACAGCTCCAAGAGGGAACTATGTTGTTTGCCATCAGAGAACAGAAGTAAGCCTCCACCTGTGACTTTGGGCATAAGAAGGCTAAGCTATTTACACCAAAACGGCAGAAGGTGAGCAACATAGAGGAAAGCACTGGGAAAGACAAAGATACCAGAACACAGCAGCCGCAGACTACAGGAACAAGCCACAATAGCAGCAGATGACTAAATCACAAAAATATGAGAGACACAAAAGAGATCACAGAGTCAAGCACTAGAAAATACTGTTTTCCAGAACCTGGGAATAGCACCAGTAATCCTTCTGTCCTCACATTTCTGCGTTGTGAAATCCACTGATAACGTCTCTCGCAGTCCCCTTGTAACAATTATAACATACAAAGGTTAATAGCCTATTGCTTCCAGTACTTGTTCTACCACCTGCAGGGGTGGAGACATCTGAATGATTTTAAAACGTTCTCTGCTAATAACGCATGACCAGCCTGTTCCACACGTGTAATTTCTGAACCATCAAGAACAAGGACTGCTTCCAGAAACATCTGTTTCAAGAACATGAAAGTGACAATGTCAATCAGCCAAAAAGATAGGAGGAAGTCTAAACCAACACTAGTTCAGACTTGTTGCATGTATATGCTCCGATCGAGACTTTTAATTATCTGAACAGGTCTCTCCCCTCCACCCAAAGGATCCCAACTGAATGGGTATACAAACAGCGACAAAAAGACTTGTACCATGAACAAGCAACAGGGCTTACTGGTGGCACTGAAAAAATTTAATCGCTGATGTTCATGAGGAAAGTTATTTTTAGCATCACAGCAAGAAGTGATGCAATGGAACAACCAAACCATGTATGCTCTTTTTACACAGAACTTAAAGCAGTACTCAAAACTCATGCCAGGACAATGGTTTTATTTACTGTGGCTGGAACCTTATCACTTTCTGCAAAATTGCTAGAAGACAGCTTTGTTCTCACTCACAAAGCCTGCATTGTTAAAATACTGGGTTGTGGGGTTTTTTTTCAGCTTAGCTCTATTCTCCCTAACATTCACACTTCAGTGGTGCTTAACCCTCCACTTTATCATTGCAGACACTGTCTCCATGAAACACCAACATCTTGACTATCCGAAGTTCACAGAAAGGTGAGAATGCTGACCTGACAGGCTGCAGTGGAACTAAGGAAAGACGGAACTACTGTCTTCTGATGACCTCCTCTATAGTCCGAGTCTTACAGCACCATTATGCTTGCACAATACAAATGCAAGCAAACCTGCATACACATTTTACAAAAACACTTCCAAAACAGTTAAGGAAAAATAAAAAAGATAATGCAAAGAGACTGTGTTTCTGATTCCATATGGGAAAATGCCAAAACGTGCTGGTCTGGCAAAAAAATGAGAAATAGTTTGCATTCATGAAATATGATTAACTACTAGTTTATGACTGGGAATATGTGAACAACAGGTTCAAAGTGCTGAAGATCTCCTACTTCATCAGATGCTACACTGCCTCTTCAGGATGTTTTGGCAAAAAGCCATTCAGACATGCCAAGCTTCAGAAGTCCAGGAATATCTAGAAAGCCTCTTTCATAATCAGATACTAACATCAGCCTTCTGTATGTTTACAACTCCTGTATTTTATGGGACTTTGCACACTATGTCCTCAGTTCAATATTAGACTTTTTTTCCCTGGCTTCTCTTATTAGAAGAGCAATAAACGGGTATAAAGTTAATGCACGAAGAAGGTAATACCTTAGATTTTTTGGTCCTCTTGTCATCCTCTTCATCTTCAGAGTGATGGTGCTTTTTCTTCTTTTGTTTTTTAGCCAAGTGTGACTGACTTGTTTGAGACTCTTCTATATCCTCCTCCAGCACAAGGTCGTACTTGGCACTGATGGTGTTAGTTAAGGACAGATCTGTTACTTAATAAATAAATAAACAGCAGAACATAAAAGCTCACGAAACAAACAAACCCCTGTTTATCAGACCAGGGTTTACCCAGACTTACTATGTATCTCAGTCTGAACAGGATCGTGCACACTGAAAAAAATCAGCTGTGCTAAAATGACTGGATTCTGTCCTGTCAAACAGTACAGCCAGGTCCCAATTCTCCTTTCTTTCCTACCTGCGGGTATCTGAACAAGCTATGGTCTTCCCTTCTCTCATGCTCACCACAAGCAAAGTAGAATCACAGAGCATGATTTAGTTACTACTGTGGTCTCATTTTGGATGCAGCAGGTCCCTTGTGAAATTACTTAAAACTCTGTTATGCCACATGTCATTCCAGGGCTCCGGACTGGGAACATTATTTACCTGCACACAACATGGAAGTGGAACAGCACATTCTGATTCAACTAAATTCATCTAAGTCATCAAATGAAAAATGCAAAATGCTTAATTCCATCTCAAGCACCAAATGGTTATATGAAGCAGCAGCAAAACACCCATTTGGCAAGCTTTAATGATCAGAAGTCTTTTCCAGGCTGTTTTCATAAACTGTACTTAGTGCAAAAAATACCTTTGACCAGAAAAGGATACTCCTGCTTTGGTTTTACCTTCTCTTTCAGAGCAAGTTTTGAAGGTTTATCACGTTCCTTTTCGTACTCTTTGAAATCATCCTTGGTATACTGCCCACCTGTTCACAGAAAAACATACTCAAATTCACTCCAACTAAAAAAATAACCAAGATCCACACCTAGCACTAAGTTCTGCTTATGAATTTAAGGGCTCTTCATAACCATACAGAGATTCATAGCAGGATACAGCTCCAGAAACAACACTGACATGTGGGTAACAGAGTAGAAGAAAGTAGGACAAGTTGTGATTTTCTGTCCTTCCCTTGCTTGCAGATCCCATTAAACAACATATGGCTTTCTCCTCACTCATGTCCAGTGGAGACAACGCATGAGCTGGATCACAAAGCAGCATTTACCAATTAGTCCCGCTTTGATTACAGGCCGTATGTCACACTACTTAAAATTCTGTTACCATGAAAGCCTACAGACTATTCCCATTATTAAATGATTTTTTTGTTCTGGGCTGCACAAAGGAAAACCTCTGAGACAGCTACAGCTTAGGAATTCAAATGGAAAAATATTAAAAAAATTGTCATGTCTTGAATTAAAGAGGGGCATGACAGATTTCATTTTCCAGCTCACAGATTAATAAACTTAATAAAGTACCAGCTCACAGATTAATAAACTATTCTACAGCAACGTGCTGCCATCTCACGGTCATACTTAAAACTGCAATACTAACTGGCTAGGTCAGAAATGGCTACTGAAGATGGAAGGACAGTACTTCCCCTAGGTAATCTTTTGGGTACCATATAAGCACAAGAAGATGACAGTATAGTTAGCTTTCCAAAATTTAGGACAATTTAGACATAAGTTACCCAGATAAAGAAAAGTTTTCTGTGTAGTCAGTCAGTACAGGATGTACTGCAGAGCATGGTACAGCTAAAAAAGTCATCTCAGCTCTGTATGGGACAAGTTTTAGTGTCCATGACTAGTCCCCAATGCGGAGAAACTGTATGCAAACAATTGAGAGCTGACTGCCTTGTTAGGCGAAGACACACAAGAACATCATCACTGCAATGCACCTCTCCAAGTCCAGTGTTTTCCTCACGTCCCCAACAACCAAATAACCACTGTATCCCACCTCTGCCACCATCTTCTTCCTCCCAAAACATCCTCAAACATCTGAAACTGGGTTTTATAACATACGGCCTGCTATGCAATATGCTTGACCTGCAGGAGATGAAGAGGGGAAATCCCCGTCCTGAATACCGATTTTTTTCTTGTACACACCCAACTGTCACACAGTGAATAAAGAATAGAAACTAGAAGGTAACAATGCACTGCCATATTATTTTGCTAGTAAGTAATATCAAAAAACATCACTTTAAAGCTTGAGAGGAACAAATGATTTACTGGCAAAAATACAGCTGATAAAAAGGCAATCCATGGCAATGTAATATTAATATAACAGTAGCAACCCCTTCTACTCTTTCATATGAAACAAGTGAAGAGAAGAGCTAGCAACTGCGTTGCTCTATTTACTACAGTACCAGGAAAATTTATATCCCTGAATGAGATTATTTAAGCTCATAACAATTGCTCCTCTTTACATAATACTTACAGTATAGAAGTCATGGCTTATTAAGTTATGAGGGTCAAAGAATCGCAAATGTACCTACCTTTTCCCTTCCACTTAATCTTTGCAACAGACTGGCTAAAATCCACATGTATTCGTCTGTCATCTATCAGCACATTGTCCATTTTGAAGTAGGCTTTCTCACAGTCTTCCTCCTGGTATTAATGTTTCCAGAAAATTTTAAGTCATGATTGTTTCATAGAAATATTCACTGAAGAGCTCAAACACAAATTCATCTGCTTAATGGCATACATTTTTCTCTAAAATTGCATAAAGCACAACAGTTCTTGTGTTGTGCCATTTCAAAAGAAATACTTATGCTTTGTCCGAATGTAAACATTTCAAATTCCATTTCTTCAGTTCATTTCACTATTTTAAAATTTGCCAATCCAGCTACGTGTTTGGCACATGTAATACATTCAGAAAAACACGGGAAAAAAGGACAACTAATAAAAGCTCCATTTTAAGTACCTGAGTAGGCTAAAGAGAAGTGAGAACACTTTTCCAGTGTTTTCCAGTTTTCCTCATGGATTAGAGTGATTAGCAAATACAACCAAGAAACTATGCACCATCACGAGAACTTTTACTATCAATCTCACAGTAACAGCAGCATGTTGATAAAGTAGTCTTATACTAAATCCAAAACACAGCACTATGCCAGCTACTAGGAAGAAAATTAACTCTATCCCAGCTGAAACCAGGACAAAGCCCAATACAGGATGCTACTGTATTCATCAATCTACCTTCTTTCATACACCCTCCTCTCTTTATGCAGCATGCCTCCTTTTTCTCACAGCATTCCCTTCTTTAACTCTTCAAAATCCTAATGTGCTTGGGGGGGGGTGGAAGGGACCCGCTCTCCTCCCACTGGTTTCAAGACAAACTAAGAAGAACGTATTTGTTTTGCTAGGTTGTATAGAGAAAGACTTAAACATTTGCCTCATTTAGGACCTACAACTTCTACAACTAAGTCAGTAAGGGAAAATACCAGCTACCCCACACTTGAAGATTTCACTGGTTTTCCTTAATGCAAGTGCACCAAAAATGAACTTTTATAAGTAGAATCTATGTACAGTATACCTAAATAACATAACATACCTTTTCAAACTCAATGAAAGCGTAACAAAGAGATTCACCAGTCTTCCAGTCTCGGATCACTTCACAGCTGAAAAATTGATACAAAATTAAAATGTCAATGCTGTTGGAGCAAAACACAAGGCAAGCACTGCTTAAAAGGGAGAGTAACAGTTAAAAAAAAAAACAAACCAAAACCAACCAACCAAACAATAAAAAACCCTTGAAGGTATTGTAACACTTGAGTCTGAGAGAAGACAAGACTATTCAGACAAGCTATATGAATTCCTTGCAGCAGCCATCAGTGAGGAAGAAGGTAGGATAGTCTTGTGCCAGAACCCTCCTTTCCGGATTATTCAGAGAAACTATCTGAAAGTGGAAGGACTGCAGAAGAGGTACTGAACAAATTGATAGAGGGGAAAAAAAGAGTTTAAGAATCCCTAGGACATCCAGAAATCATGCTGGAGTTGTAAGAGTGGCACACATGATGCCAGTTTCACTCACACATACATACAGTCCAGTGAAGGATCTGGGAGTCTGCAGGCCTGTATGCCAGTACTGCACAAACTGGTGGAAACTCAACACAGAACAGAGTTAGCAGGCATCTGAATAAACAGGACCTACTCGGGACCATCTGAATAAACCTAAGTTCTCTGAAAGAGTCAATATGCTTATGTGTGATGATGATCTATTTGATGCAGTCTTTTGAAATCCCTCTGGAAATTCTAATAAACTCCTGCACCAAAGGCTTTTGGGGAAACTAAGCAGCAATGGCATAAGAAACTTCTTTGCATTGATAAACATGTGAAAGACCGCATAAGAGTAAACAGTCATTTCTCACTGAGAAATTAAAGAGGTCACCAGTGGAGTCTGCTGATGATACTAAATTGTTAAAAAGTGGCAAAAATAAAGACTGAAAAAATTGCAGAAAGTTCTTAGGAGACCAACTGAACAACAAGATAGCAAATGACATTCAATGTAGATAAATGCAACAAGATCAGCATGGGGGGGAATCCTAATTGTGCATTGTTTAAAAAGAAAAAAAATAGCTTTAGCATTAACTAGAAAAGAAGTTGAGAGCAAAGCAGAGAATACCACCATAAATCTGTAATTTCTTTAATACCATGTGCAGTTCTGGTCCTCTCATCTTGAGATAAAAACAAAAGAACATGAAAAGGTTGAGAAAAGGGAAGTAAGGTAACGAAAACTCCTCTGCAAAGCATGAGTATGTAGGCTTGTACTGTTAGCAAGAAAAACAGATGACTTTGGGGTATAGGATAGAGAGGGGTGTAGGAAAGTAGGCTTCACCGTCTATCGTGTTTTTTGATACCAGTACTAGGAGGAGCCAACTGAAACTAGGAGCCAAGTTCAAAACTGAAAAAGGCAGCAGGCATGAGGAACACCTTAACAAGGAGTGTATCGGATGCCAGAAACGTTTGTCACTTTATTTCAAAACCATACATATTCCCATGGAGAAGAAAAACCCAGAGACTGTATCTAGGTCATGTAGCATCTGAGATAAAACTCTTAAAAGGAGGGAGAGGACGGGGGGCTTGGGGGAATATCATATGCTTTCCTTGTTCCTACATTTCCCTAGGCTTTCACTTAAAACCACTGCTGGGACAGGATACTCATCTAGCTAGATCTGACTTTGTATCACCATTGTTGCGGTCTCTATCCAAATACATGCGGGCACAGGATAAATCTCCAGGGACGCCAGAATACTGCTTAACAGCCAAACCTAAAGAGACCGGCAGGAATCAACAAAGTTGGCAGTTTCAACAAAGAAGGTTTTCTTTTTTGTTTTACAATAATTACCTTTTAATAGGACCAAATCGTGAAAATATTATCTCTAGGTCTTCATCTGTGGTCACAGGATTCAGTTTACAAACAAAGAGCACATTTTCTGGTGGCTTGACCTCGGCATCTGGTAAATCTCCCACCTGTGGTATACAGAAAAAGACTTTCATCACTTCTGCCGAAAGCTTTCTACATTTTATTGCCACAAGCACACCGGCAACACATCTTCTGGATGATCTCAGACACATTCCTATCACAAAATCAAAAATTAATAAAATATTTTTCCTACTCAATGTCACAAAAAAGTGTTTTCCATAGCACCTAAAAATGATTATCTATTTGCAATTCCACCACTGGGACTTCACGAAAGTCACAAATACTTTATACCTTGCTTTCCCTGTTCATAACGTAACAAATACACAGTTCTAAAAGGTGAAAGCGTACTTCTAGATCCACTCCATTATAAAAATAAAAATGGACTGGATCCATTCCTTAGTCTCTGTCTGTACCCAAGATAAACTCACCTTTCCTTGAAATCTGGCAACAGCTAGGATAAGCTTAAATTTAAGATCGCTTGATAAGGATGAAAAGTTATTATTATACAACTTTGTTCAGACAGACAGAAGGGAGAAAGCATTCATGCTTACTAAAAAACACTTGCTTACAGCACACACAACTTCAATGTTTACAACCTTCGATCAAAATTCCCATCCTCGAACTAGCAAATTAAGTTACAAAGGAAAATGCAGATACACACACCACCTCCTGTTGAATAGTAGCACTTCTTTTTAAAACCTGAACAAAGGACTAGTGATATTTAAACAATTTATCTCCATCTTTTACTTAATATGCTAATAAAAAGGTAATGCATATTGATTTGATAGCAGAAAGAAGCAAAACAACACAAGTAAGCAGCAGATTCCACAAAAGAGAACGCAAAAGGAGTTTAAGCACATGACACTTCAGAGAAGTTTACTGCTTCAACAAAAGAACAATGGAACTAATAGTTGGGGTTTTTCAAATCAGTGAAACTAGCAGTACACTTAGTTTTTAAGCTCTTCAGCTTATGTAACATAGCTCCCTATTGCATACTACCCAGCAATACTCACAGAAAATTACCGCATTGGCTCACATACCCCACTTGCCTTTTTTAGCTAACCTTAACTTTATCCAGAAAACAGGTCATCAACCCCACTGCTGCTGCAGAACAAAGAGTCCACGCCTGCGGATCTTCTGTAACACTGTGGCCACATCTAGACTGACCTTGGTATTAGTTTCTGCTGCAAACTATTCACCATAAATTTGAATTCGGCAGTTGTAAAGAAGTGTGATGGATTCACCCATCCTTCAACAACAAGTGTGTGCGCTTTTTTTCTTTTTTTCTTTTTTTCTTTTTTTTTTTAAAAAAAAAGGACTTCAAAGCCCATTCACAATTTTTGTTACTATACGGAGTTTACAGCTGCCAGCAGTTACCAAACATATGGATTCACCCATCCTTCAACAACAAGTGTGTGCGCTTTTTTGCTTTTTTTCTTTTTTTTTTTTTTAAAAAAAAGGACTTCAAAGCCTATTCACAATTTTTGTTACTAAAAACTCTGTGTTTACAGCTGCCAGCAGTTACCAAACATTACGTTTAAGAAGGAAGAACATAAAGTTAACCAATGTTAAATTCAACTAATCCCACAGAAGGAAGACAACCATTACATATATGAATAACGCATCCTCAATGCCACTATATGCCCTGGGAAGAAATTATCTCAAAGTAGCTCAGCTCTCTCCCACACATGCTAAACCTTTTCCAGGATTAAAAATATTCAGCAGCATATTATGTACGTTATGTTCTTTAAATGGATGCATTTCTAGCAAGTTTTTATAAAGCCTCCACTGGTCCACTTTTAATCCTGGCTTTAAAAATGAAATATCATTGGTTTTATCGGAAAACCACCTCCAGTGCTCATGCTCAATCCTTTCCATTGTACCACAGACATTTAATAGCACAGATTCTGAGCCGTGACATTATCACCTAATGAGCAATTTCAAGATAAATAGTACACATCCTCCTAGACTCAATATAACATGCACATCTAAAAGGTAAATACAGAAAGATGTTCACCATTTCCAGAAGAATGGCACGAGTTTTTGCTTCTTTTTCTGCTTGAACTTCTTCTATTTCATCTGCAGACCGTCCTTTCAAGTCATCGATTTCTTCATCTGCTCCTATTCTACCACTCTGAAAAATGAAGGAAAAAAGCTATTTATTACCAAGCCATGGCCAAAAATTCTTTCTCACTTTCCAAATACTACTTGGATGACCTCCCCTCTTTACCCCCCAAGACATGAAAAATGCTTAAGCACTGTTTCTCTGCAGAACTGGGCTTTCATTCTGTTCTCCCCACTTAGATTAATAAGAAAGAGAGAAGATGTTATCCTCATGTGCTTCAGGCACTATGAACTATGTATGAACTTTCAGGCCCAATGTGAACCATATGCAGTTAGATATTCTAAATTCTTTTCTAAGTTCTCCCATCTCATACTTAACATCTCACCACAAGTGTTGACTCATTTCTAATCTAGATAGCTCCTAACAGAAATGAAGATCAGGAACACTGCAAATATCTGTGGTATCTAATAAGATTCAAACATTAAATATAGCATATCACAACAAGAATTTTATTTTTACACATCTACATCTAGGCAGGATTTGAGGTTTCATTTTTTCTCCTCATCAGCATCTCTAAAACACTGTCCTTCTTACAGACATTTCTACACCAAAAGGTGTATCTTCAGACAGGCTACAGGGGAAGAAAACTAAGTATAAGCTTTGAAATCTCTATGCAGTTGGCAGTGAGCTATTAAACTCCTTATACCACTTAACATATCTGAAGGTACATCAGAGAGTAAACATAGTGCAGACATACTATGAAAACCTAATTCCAATCTTGTAATTATATCTATTAAGCTTAAAAATAAACAATATTCTCTCTAGTCAATTTATTCGTTGCTTGAAACAACTGTTTCCATACAAGGAGATAATATCACATAGCAACTTCCATAACTGCATGCCATGAGTGAGTTATGAATAAATACTATTATGTTTTTAGCAAATTACTTCTGTTTGATCAAATACACCACAACAGCATGCATGTTTGCAGATATAACTGAAGGAATGACCAAGATTACTTCCACTGAAACACAGACTCCTTCACATTTAAAAGGAAAAAAACAGCAGTAAGCACTTTAATATTAATAAACATTAGTTATGTTTTGTCTTCTACCAGTGCATACAAAAAACCAGTAATGCCAAAGGTGAATATTCTGAATGTCCTGCTTAACTGCACTGTAATTAGAAATCTAAAATACGGCTTTCTAACCTAACTCTACCATAGTCACAAAGGAGAGCGCCCGCATCACCCTTTTATCCTTTTCTTGAAAGATTAAGCAGCCATATTTTATTAAACACAGCAATAGCCCCAAATAACAGACAAGCATTTGACATATCAGAACTCAAGCTGGCATAGTAGAAGAGCATCTCTTATCCTCCTACACTAAAAATGTGTAGTTCTTTTAGGATATAGATTTGACAGACAAAGTCTTAAAGACAGAATTCTTATTTTGACCAAGTCTGTGCTGGTCACCAATAGGGATAAGTTTATTTAATCATTCCTTCCAACTGTTCCCCAAGAAGCTATCATAAACACTCACATCTAGCTGTTCCTTAGTAGGTTCTGGTGAGCGATCAGGAATAGACAAGCCAGGTGGATCTTCAAATGGATCATCTAAAATTACTGTATGATTTATCCTTATAGAAAACAAAATCGAGACCAGTATCAGTCACATGCAAATAAAACTCTCTTTACCAAAGTAACAGGAAGCCAGCCCACTGATTCTCAGTTATATCCCAAACAGCCAAACATACTGTATGCTTGTAAATACTAGTACTGATGCTTTTGTAAATGCAACATAGCTGCACATTTTCTTATATAGTTGCTTATTTTAGTACCTGCTTATTTTACCAATAATACTGGAATAGAAGAGTATTTAAGATACCATGTACAGGTCACCCGACATCGCTATATTAATCTAGTTTCCAAAAAAAGATGAATTTGTTTAATTGCAATGTATTCCTCAAAAAGGGACGTTAAAAGCAGTCACACCTGATATCTTGATATGGGATAAAATCCTTATCCACGAAGGTTTCATTGATTGTCTTCAATACATCCATGCCTTCTGTCACTTCTCCAAATACTGTATGCACACCATCAAGATAATCCAGGTTTTCCCCTGTAGTAATAAGAAACTAGAAAAGAAGATACAAAACCAACAACGGTAAATAGAAATATTCAGGGCTTGAGTTTTACCTTAGGAGAGGTACAACTCTCACTGAAATCAGTGGGGTGGGGGAAACCCTCTTCCTGACTTCTGCAGGAGATGATTAGTCTTCTTCCATCGGCTCTGAGAAGATGGTGAGCCAACCTACAGCTCACAGCCACCGCCTGAGGCAGAGAGACAGAAGCCTCCCTCCACACAAACTCGCAGCTCTGGCTCACTGGACCCTTCTGTGAATTGATACGACTCAGTAACGTGGCAGAAAACCAGAGTGGCAGAGGAAGAGCACATAGGTATCTGCCAGGCAGGTTTGTTGAGCGAGATCAGCGAAGGATGTGACAGGCATCACAGCTGATGAAAGGGGGAGGGCAGAAAGCGCAAGGCTACCCCTCTGGGCAGCAGTCAGCTGTGAGCTGAGCTCAAACCATCGTCACACTGCATTCAGCAGGTACATTTTCACAATTTTGGCAAAAACTTCCATAGTTCTACCTTCACCTGCTTCTATCTGGGCTTTTTTCCTTCCTTCCCTTGTATCACAAACCCTTCTCTCCCAAAAAACAGGACACAGAGGAGAACTAGAACACAGTAGCATTGGCTTAGATCAGATCATTGGCACTGAAATGTATCCTAACACAAATCAGGTGTTTCACTTGAGGGCAAAACTGAAGCTATGCAAATTGATACCAACTCAACACTTGGTAACAAATTAAAGACAGAGGACACTTGGTAATGAATAAAGGAGGAAGGAGCAGATATGCACAAGTAACAGAACACAATGCTTTACAATCTGACTGGTAACATCTCACTCCTCATTCTCTGCAACACAGTTAAGACTGGTTAGTATTTGGTACAGGTTACACTAAGCTACATTACATTTGTAAGCCAACTCCACATAATTCCTTACTAGAATTTTTCTTTCCCAAGGAAGAAGCTGCAGTAATGTTCCTGGGAACTGCATTCATTCCTATATGCCTGTATATATGCTAGCAGGCTGTGTTCTTAAATGTAAATATAAATGTCATCTCTTCTTCCTAAACCCCCCACCCAAACAATCAATTTTATACATACAATGCAGGGAAGCAACAAAATTAACTCCATATATTACAAGCTCTAGCTGGAATAAAACTGGGTTTTTTTTTTAATTGCTATTCCATTATTACAAACCCCTCTTTTTAAAATTAAAACATACGGCTATTACAAGTGAGGCATTTTAATATATAAAAGTGACATTGCACCTAAAATAATAATTTAGAAATAATATAATTCTATGAGATTAGAGTTTTAAATATACCTGCAGCAAAAACTTTGTGCACCTGAACAGGGAACAGCAAAGGGAACACCACCACTTTCAAAAATTGTTCTATAACATCGCTGGGATAATTGTATTATTAATGCACACTTTTATGCAACCATACAGAGGAAACTGTGGTATGATTTCAGTTCCCAAACTAACATGAAGTTACAACCAGGAAGTTTTAAGATTATTTTAAAACCCAATTTCCTTACTTTTCACTTCCATTTAACTACAGGATTTTTCTCCTGCCCATTCTATACATCCACAAAATCACATCAAGGTATTAACAGAAATTAATAAACAAAGGAAAAAAGATAGAGGACTGAATTGTAACAAAGTTTATGAAATTAATCTAGGACAGGATTTGAATCTGAGCATTTCAACCTCTTTCTTTTCTGTAATCAAATACCCATTGGCACCTGGGACGCTATGAAAAAATACTTATCTATGGCCATTTTTTTACATGCCTTTTGACCATATTACAAGATGATGCTATTGAGATGACACTGTCATTGTTATGCCTCTTTTGTAAATTCAAGGAATTTTCATTTTAGTTACTTAGACATGTACCAAGGTTTTCCAACACTGTATGCTGACCTGTGATCCATGCTGATCATTGCCATTGTTCACCATTGACACGGTTCCCTTTTTCTTGTGCTTAATTCTCGGCGCTTTTTCTGCCTCAAAAAATCTAGCTTGATCACCATACAGTTGACTGAAAATATATATAACAAATATGTTACAAGGCAAAGGAATTTTAAAAAAGTGAGATAAACAAATGCTGTTGAAACAGTAAATAAAACCCCTTAAAAATTTTTACATTGGCATCCAAATAAAACCAGAATTTACATTGCATCCATGCACATTTTTATGGACCTGTACACTTACATAATTCACTTTATATTACAGGGAACAGCAAATTTTTCTCTGAGGCATTTCACAACGGCTTTTGGGGGGGTCGGGGAGGGGCATATTTGTATTTTTTTTAAATACAGTATAGAACATTTTTCTAAGGCATGAAGCAAATCCGTGTTTTGATAAGTGGGTTCTGTAAGAATAAGTTAATCCATGCTGTAAAAACATAATCATTTATGTCACAAATTTCTCTTTCTTCCAAGATAAATGGAAAGCCACTGAATCTATGCATAAACTTAGTTCATCACATAGACAGGACTGCATACAGTAATTTGAGATACACAGGATATGGCAAATTGTTAAATTATTTTTAATTTTTTAAGTCTAACCCTGACATCACTCATTTTGTCTCACTCCATAACTGACAGAGGCATGGTCAATACACACATTTGCCCAAATTTAAGGGGAGTGTTCTTTTTGAACTTGTTTTGCTAAGCTGGTGTAAGCTTTTATGAAGAAAGGATTCAAATTAAACTTTGCCTGTATTAGTTTCCTGGGTAGCAAGAACAGAAACTCCAATTTTGTGGACTTCAGCAGTAATGAACAGGTAGAAAAGACAAACTGCCACTCTCCGTGCTAGTAGTGGAACGGAATCTGCCACTCTGTCATCACCCTATACTTCCCTATCTGCTATACCAAACAGCCTCAGACAAAAGGGCAGAATATCAAAATAAACTTGATCTACCCGTGTGCAGAGACAGCTCAGGTCTGGTAAGCTTACCTACTTAGACTTGCATCTACTTAGCACAATTATACTGCTTCCAGAATCACCGGAGTGGTGATCCATGTATCCAGGTTTTTAAGGTTTTGTATTTAAGAGGCTCTGACAGACCACGACTTATAGAAGTCAATACTGGCCTAGCAACACTGCCTCTGTTCAAACTGAGCTATGTATCTCTCTATGCTGTGTTCCCCAGCACTCCAGGTTTAGTTCTGCTCTGCAATTTTAATTCTACTTTTAATAACAATTTCAAAGGAACCTTATAGAACATACACACTTTGCTAAATTCCATCCTAGCTGTTTGAATGATTTCTTCAACTTTTACGTGCATGACCACTGAAAACATCTTAAACAAAGAAACAGATTTCTTTAAACACGTTCACATGACCAAAATGAACACAAGTAAATTTTTAGAGCAACAGGATTACTTATACATAGAGGAAATTAAGTATAGTCTCTATATTCCCCGCCCGCTCAATTACATACATTTTGTTACAAAAATAAAAGTAGTAACAAACTGCTAATGACTTTGCCTTCTACAGAGCACTTAAGTTACCATCCTTCTCTTACAAAACCAAACCTATACTTACTTGCTAACTTTTAAACAAACAGAAACGTATGTACAACTTGTTTTTGTAACTTCACTTCTAAGGTCAGAGATAGAATACTGTCCAGAAAAAAAATTGGAATGGCCAAAGGCAGCGTAGGAATTAAAAAGGTATTTAAGTATGACAACCAAAGAAGCTTATACATCAACATTTTTACTTCCCATCAGTAATTCTGCCCCAAGAGAGCTGAAGACAATCTAATTGAAACCCCTATTCCCCTATACAACTTCTCTGTTTATTAAGTAACACAAAAGTTTTACTTACCAAAATATGGATTCCCCTCCACGGCCAGTTCCCATGGGGTCACCGGTTTGTATAATAAAATCCCTCTGTCACAAAGCAGAATACATAAGATATTGCTTTCATGTTTGTGAATTTAAACGAACAAAAAAATAAGGAATTGAGAATACTCACCTGTACATTATGAATAAGACAATAGTTGTAGTACTTGACTTTGCAGAGCTTCAGAAAATTCAGACAAGCTGTAAGAAATTATACCAACATTTATTAAAGAAAAGCCCAGATGTAGTAAGTATGGATACAACAGATATCCAGTTCAACGTGTAGAAAAGTGTTTTCGGAGCAGACTGTGTTAAGAGTTATCAGTGTACAACCTACAAACGCTGTGAGAAACACTCTTAAGGAGTTGTAACATTTCCTCCCTTCCTAAAGCCTACCTCTAGTGATTCGGAGAATCCTAAATACTACTACTTATACAGAAATGCACATTTCTTCTCCCCGGTTTCTTTCCAAGCACCTAAGACAGACGACCACGGTTGCCTTTCGATCTAGATTATATTACATTTTCTCAATTTTTTGAATAAATACGCATTGCGTGTATAACAAACGCATAATTAGAAAAAAAAAAAATCCAAACTTCCCAACAGTACTTGATGCTTCCAAGCATTTCAAACGCGTACATACAAGCCCAGGCGGACCGCTGACGGCCAGGGAAATCCTGGCACTCATCTGGATCTAACCCCAGGCCCGAGGTCCGCCGTGAGACACCAAAACACAGGCGGGGAGAAGGCGTGCTGCTGACCGCACGCACCCCCTGGAAGTCCGCTTGCCCGGGGGGCCGCGCCGGCAGCCAAACCTCAGG